CCCCCCTCCCCCCCCCCCCCCCCCAGGAGGTTCAACACTGGCATGCTGACGTCCTCTCCTGGCGCCAACAAACCCTTCTTTTTCTTGTCGGCGCTAAGAGAAGGCGCTCAGCTAAGAGAATTCGTGAGAAGGGGAGCACAAAATCTCTACCCTGATCCAGACAAAAGCCGTGAGCCATTTTGCTGGACACAAGGTGGTCACACAAGCTTGACAGGTTTGACTATATATAATCCGATCGCACGGGAACGTACTGGGGTAGATCGGATGGAGGGGGTCTGAAGTTTTTCTGAAATTGAGAAGAAGAGTCCAGAAATAACACGAAGGGACAAGCCTGCAGGGACATTGTTGGTGCGGAATAATATTGTGGCGACCTGCACAGCCATCGGTGGCGACCTGCACAGCCATCGGTGTCGAACTGCACAGCAATCGAACAAGGTAAAAATTCGATTAAAAAATCCGAGATGGCGCCTAGAAGGTGAGTTCCAATTAGTCTTGAATCACATTGAGATCCTGTAATGCCACTCATATATGTTTCAACAGAATCAATGGATGTATGATGGGGTCTTATTTGAACGAAGAAGTCCGAGTTGTAGTAGAGGTAATAGACTCTGTTAACAACCTATGGCGCGCAATGACGTGCGATCAAGTCCCTATACAAGTTGAATTTAAAGAAGAGGCGAAATTACAAACATCTCGTAACGGATATGCAGAAATCACAGGAGTTTGTCAACGTCAGAAAGTCGTGGTTTCTAGTCCGAGGGGGGTTGTATGGCTCAAAGCTCCCATCGGTATGACCCACCCCCTTCCTCACTTGGTCGCTACAACTTGGTCATCACAACTCATTTCCTTACAGATAACTCGCTCGTCAAGTGGACCAATGAGTTGTGGAATCATGTTCGTCTTCAGGAATGCTTTCAGACAACAATGTGAAATCCTCTTTTCATGATTCGTGGCATACACCAGATAGCACAACAGGATAGAAAAAACATCCAAGACCAATCGGGGCTCTGGGGCGTCTTCCAGGACCTCAGAACAGAAAAAGCGAAACTCATAATCGCACATGCGTCCGAGAGACAGGGGGGGGGCACTCCGCAGCTGGGGCTGGGGCTTACTTCCTTCACGTACTCAAAGCTCCCACGGCCCTCTCGCCAACGACTACGGCCCTGCACCTTCCGCTTCAACACCCAGTCAATTACACCCTTTGCAACCAGCCACTGACTTATTCTTGTCGGTACCGCGCTTCAGTCGGAACGCCGGGCGGGGGCTGCTCGCCACCTGGTGCCTGTGGCTTCGCCCAAGCGAGGGCTTCGCCTTCCCACCCGTTCCTCTTCACACTCGGCGGGTCTCGGTCTCGGTCTCCGCGCGTGAGTTTGGCACCCGCTGGTTGTGACTTGAGGGCAGAACCGTGTGTTACGATGTAGAGGGTTCACGCCCCAATAAAATAAATCTACCGAAGGCGACACAACGGGGTCCGGCACACACTGATGCCTCCATAATGGATAGAGGAGCCGCGGCAGCGCTATTCCCGTTGGCCTTGTGTTCGCCGTCGTTGGCTACAATGTCCGGCCGTCAGTTGTCCTCGCATTTATACTTGTTAGTTGCGGGAACTGAGGCGTGGCCAAAAACATGTATAGAAATTTCTTCAGAGATCGTTATATCCCTGGACGACTCGAGGGGTTACGTCTATATTCTACTACGTAAATAGGTTCGTTCCTAAGGCAGCAACTCTGCGACCTTAATTTTCTCATCGAAATACACAAACAGTAAGTTCAAAAAGCACGTGATCATTGACAGACCCACGCTATCACATTCGAAGATGGGAGGTTGGCTCAGTAAACGTAATCCGATCCGTGTACTTTATCCGACGCTCGCGGAAATAGAAAAGTTCAGGGAAGTGCCATCGAGACACGCGAAAATGCCGAGGCGACCCAGGCTAAGTTAAACAAACTCCTAGATTATGAAGTGGCGCCGCAAAAGCTAAGTGAGGCCCGGGAGGCCCAGAATGGCGCCGGGAGGTCGCCTTGAAGGGCCAGAATGCCGCCTTGGAGGCCCAGACTGCCGCCTTGAAGACCCAGAATGCCGCCTTGAAGACCCAGAAGGCCGAAAAAGAACGTGCTTTTAACGAAAGGAAGGTAGAAATGGACCACACTCAAGACCGCCTGCGGGCGGAGGCCGTCGCCGACCACACCGCCAGTGAAGAAGCGAGTCGGTGTGCGGCGGAAGCAGATGAGGAGCTGAAGCGAGTCGTTGACACGAATAAACATGCCGGAAAGACTGGCAGGCAAAGTAACTTTCAGAAGCTGTGGAGGAGGAGAAGAGGAAGGCGATGGCCGCTCAGGATGCCGTCGACTTGGCGAAGAAAGAAGCGGAGGAAGCGAAGGAGGACGCTGAACGAAAGTTGAAACAAGGTATTCAGTTTGTGGTGGTACCCGAAGAAGTCCGCTTAGCCAAGGAACGAATTAACTATCCGGAAGACGTTTTCCATTTTGCCGCGGCTGGCCCCTGGTCATCTCCTGACCAGATACAGTGCGGGGTCTTGTGAGTAACTTAACGCCGACGACGAAGAAGAAGAAGAAGAGGAGTCGAAGACGAAGGTGAGTTAATTCAAAACGTACTGTCGGACGCACATCTTAGGCGGTACCGCCGTGATGCCGAACAAGAGAACATGAAGGAAAGAGACAGCATCGTCGATGATCCATTAGGGCCTCGTGTTCGCAGCATCGTCGATGATCCATTAGGGCCTCGTGTTCCAGGGGCCCTGGAAGTTTTAGAAAGCGCCGCGCCGATCGGACGTCTCGAATCAGTGGTTGCATGATATTAGTGGTTATCTGGTTGAGGCGTTGAAGATTCGCGTAGCAATTGTTACCTAGTTGTATATGGTTTGATTTTTGAGGTCTTCAGTCCGAACGGTAGCATCATTGCGCGTGTTGAGAACGAAGTTTGAAAGGGTTTTCTGTAAGGCCGTGGGTTCGAAGTGTTGATACGTTTTCAGTGCAGAAAGGCTGTGTTCCCGGTACAGGGGGGAAAGACTGTGTTCTCCGACGAGGAGCGCTGCCTGGGACGGTTGTGTTCACGGTCCGTGTTCTGGCTAGGTTCTCAGTCTAGGGCGGAAGGGATGTGTTCTAGAAGGGCTGTGCTCTCCACCTAGAAGGGCTGTGGTTTCAGACTAGAAGGAAAGGGGTGTGTTCTTGGTCTAGGAGGGAACGGCTGTGCTCAGTCAGAAAACTGTGTTCTCAGATCAGGGACTTTTTGTAAACACTACACACCGCGTGGGCTGAGGGGCGAACGAATAAATCCCTGCAAGCGAACCTCGCGATCGGGAACCTCTATCAATTCCGGAAGGCTTGTTTATTTTGAACCAGGTTAATTATTACGAAAACAAGAGACCCTCATGGCTAACTTGCGCCGCGCCACCAACAAACTCTTTGTGAAGGTCACCCTTCGTGATAGGATGGCTTGAGAACTAAAACAGCTGGTGGACGAAATGATAGCGGACTCCGCCGAGAATCCGTGCTGGTTCAGGATGATGCCGCCTGAAAATCAGTCAGCAAGGCTTACGGAAAAGAAAATGGCGGATGTGTCGTAGCTGGGTGTACAGGCTCATTTGGAAAAAACTTTGTAAGTGCGAGGGATCCAAGGCCCGAGAAGGCTCGTTACTGAGATGAAAGACTTGCCCGTCGTTTAAAGAGAACTGCGACGGGGCGTAGTCGAGGACTTTGCGTGTCTGGCCCGGGAGGAAAATGTCCAACAGCCGCCGGAAGGTAGCGACGCACTAATGCCTCGCCGGAAAATAGCAACGCACTAATGCCTTGTGTTAACCGTGGCCCCAACCTGACCAAACCGGAACAGCTGGCGGCCGAAAAAGCCATTACGGTGGTACGTAAAGACATGAACGAACTCTGTGTCATTACCAGCGGATTGGGACTGCAAAGTTGAAGTGGACGGTGAATCTCGGGGTCAAGAGAGCCCCTAATGCTCTGCTTGCATCAAACAACGGCGCCTAGGCCCATCTTAATCTGCTCCCAACGTTCGAATACGTTCTGCGCAAAAAAGCTGGTGTTGAGAATGTTTGCGCGCACGCGCGCGGAGTTCCCCTGAACAAGGTTTTTTTGGGTGGCAAATTTTTAGGGCAATGCCGCACCAGACGGAGAGTACAGTTTCTGCAGAACCGGCGCAGGCGACTTGTCATTCCTCTGTTGCGGACAACTGGGTTGCTCCAAACCCGACAAATGCGTTCGTCACTGGATTGAAGGTGTCGAACTCAATGGCGGGAGGCAAGGTGACGTTCATACCGGAGAACGGCAACACCGTTAACTGGTATGGATGTGGACCAACGGTTTACGATAGTGCGCACATGGGCCATGCCAGGAATTACATTACATTTGACATTTTGCGACGCATTATGGAAGATTATTTTGGTTACAACGTTAACATGTGCATGAATGTTACGGACATCGACGACAAGATTATTGCTCGCGCTAGAGAGTTACACATACCGCCTAATCAGCTAGCTCGTTACTACGAGAACGATTTTTGGCGGAATTTACAAGCGCTGAACTGCAAGATGCCGGACATCATTACCAGAGTTAGCGAATTTATTCCGGAGATCCAGAAGTTCATTTTGAAAATTATCGACAACGGCTACGCTTACGAATCCGGCGGGTCAGTCTACTTTGATACGACGGCTTTCCGAAATTCCGAGAAACACGTCTACGGACGCATGGAGCCTTGGTCAGTGAATGACGAGGCCCGCGTGCTGGAGGGTGAGGGCAGCTTGGGCGTGGTTGGTGAGAAGAAGTGTCCGTTGGATTTTGCGCTCTGGAAGAAGGCGAAAGAGGGTGAGCCGTTTTGGGAATCTGTTTGGGGCCGGGGCCGCCCCGGCTGGCACATTGAGTGCTCGGCCATGGCCTCTGATGCTTTGGGGTTCCCGATTGACGTTCACTCGGGTGGTATTGACTTGCGATTCCCCCATCACGATAACGAGTTGGCGCAAACTGAAGCCAACTTCAACCGCCCACAATGGGTCAACTATTTCCTGCACTCTGGACATCTGCACATTCAAGGACTGAAGATGTCCAAGAGTCTGAAAAATTTCATTACGATATCCGCGATTCTTGAAAACTATGATCCCAAGATCGTGCGTCTCCTAGTGCTCCTGCATCGCTGGGACCAACCCATGAATTACCACCCGAAAGGAGAGAGCATGAAGGAGCCGGCGGAGATTCACCGAACGTTGAGCAACTTCTTTGCGACTATGAAGACGCTCATTCGTAAGGCGGCTAAACTTGAGATTGAGTGGAGTACTCCGGGCGACGCTAAGATGGACATGAAGTGCTGCACGGCCGCAAACCAGCACTGGAACCAGCAGGACCGTAGCCTGCTTGTACAGCTGAATGCGTGCCAATCCAAGGTGCATAGTGCCCTTTGCGACAATTTCGACACCCCGTCGGCTGTCGGTGCTCTGCAGCAGCTCATTACGGACGTGAACAAGTACATTTCCGAACAGTCTGCCGATGAGTACAAAGGCACCTTGCTGATCAAGGTCACCAGTCACGTGCACCGGCTGATGAGAGTCTTCGGGCTGGTCGAATCTGAAAACATTTTCGGGTATGTCAGTGAAGCCGCCGCTGGCGGAGTCGACCAGAGGTTCGCCGATGTCATGGACCTGCTCGGTGAGTTCCGACACCAAGTACGTGACCAGAGCCGTGGCTTAATGAAGAAGTCCGCCACCATGGACGACGCCCGGGACGTGGCCCGGAGTCTCCTCGGGGCCTGCGACGAAATCCGTGACAAGAGACTCACAGCGCTCGGTGTGCGACTCGAGGATCAGGGCGAGAAGGGCTTCATGTGGAAGGAGCTCAACATGTAGGCTGTGTGTGCAACCTATGCACACGTGTGCAAGCTATGCACACGTGTGCACAAGTTGTGCGTGTGTTTGCGTTTTTAATATTGCTCCCGATTTGTTCCGCTGTGAATGGCAGCAATGACATTTTGAACTGCTTCAGTTTGCTTCTGGATCTGGAAGGGAGTGAGGCGGGAACTGACGCTGTTCGTTAGTTGGGACAGCGGCGGCGACCACTTTTGGGCGGCCTGTTCAATGCCGCGAATTGCGTCCATAATCATCATGTCTTGGGCCTGCAGCAACATGTGTGTGAGACCGAGCAACATGTGTGTGAGACCGAGCAACATGTGTGTGAGACCGAGCGCGGGACTGGGGGGGGTGGGGTTACGCGCAGTTTGCGCTTGACTATGTCCGCCTTAATCGATAGGGGCTGGGTGACGGGTATTTCCGCGAGTTCTCGGGCGTCGTCCGGTTCACGGATGACGCTGAGCAGATTCGGGATTTCATTATAGAGGTTGATATCCAGCGACGGACTCCAGGGAACCACCGCTTTCGTCTGGAGCCGCGGTACCACCTCTTTTACGGCCATATGGAATGCTCCTGCCAAGGCGATAAGGTCCGAGAGGACTGCGGTCCTGCGAAAGAGTGGCGTCTCGAAAGAGTGATGCATTTTACCAGGAGGCTTGATCCGTCTGCTCCACCCCGAGCCTCTGTGCACACTGTGTGAGTCCGTCGATGCGCTGATCCAGCGCCTGGATGTCTGCAAGGACCTTGTAGTCTGTGGCGTTCGGGAAGACAAAGTCCGTCATATTAAAAAACCAACAACCAGGCCGGTGACCATTGCCTGCTCTGCCACCCGCAGCTGACTGGCCTTTGCTGACTGGCTGGTTTTTGGCAAGGGCCTGGGTTCAACAGCAGCAGGGTCGCACTTGCAGTCATGTAATTCCGATTCGATTGGTGTCGCTGATGGTTTCCGGTAGTCCTGACGACCACGGACGAGGGCATTTAGCACTTGTTGCAGGCGGAATGGCAGGGGGATGAACAAGTGGTGCTGGGTGTGGTTACGGCCTGCGGGCTGTGTGGGGAGGCCTGCGCCTTTAAAAAAACAGAAAGGCTGCCGACGTGTGGGTGATGTGTCTTCTCAGTGTCTTAGTCCGTCGGTAATAGAACCGCTGGGACAATTAACGCAAGAAGGTTTTTTCGTCGGAAGGAGAGGAGACCCGCCGGCGATGTCGTCGTGTTGTGGGTGTCTAGTGGAGGAGCGACCGAACATTAGTACGACCAAACAGTAACCACTCCCGATTGGCTCACCAGCAGGTGTTCGCTGGCCGTGAGAGTGGACGGCGGGCCGCATCGTGAAAAGGGCGAGCGAGCCACCCCTTTCACGATGCGGCCCGCTAGCTAGGACGAGGATGAGACGGTCATGACTGCTTCAACGCAATGCCATAGTTTCTGACTCGTGAGTAGAGTAAGCATGAGTAGAGTAGGCATGGATTATGTGGGCCCTAGAGGGCTGCTGAGGAAGAGCTCAGGCGCCAGGTAGACTCCCAGCTTTCGAAAGGCGTCATATGTCCGAATAAATCGCCGTGGAGCTCTCGTCCATTCATAGTCCCACAGAAAACAGGCGACTACCGGGCCGTAATAGGCTATCGGCAAGTCAATAAACAGATGACGCCTTCCCTATTCCCCTCCTCCGGAATAATCTCCAAAAGACGTCCGGCCATTCCTACCATATTGCTCTCGACTGTAACCGAAAGTTCTGGAATGTTCCCATCAGTGAAGCGTGTAAGCAAAACACCGCGTTCTTTGGGGACTGTTCGAATTCAATGTTGTGCCCTTCGGCATCAAAACCTCGCCGGGGGAGTATCAGAGAGCAATGAATCAAGCTTTGATGCGCTTCTAGGCCAGGGCGTCGAATGCTATATTGACGATATAGTCATTTACAGCGGACAGGAATGCCTTGAACTCCTAAATAAGGTGATGCGAATCTGTATCGGCAATGGCTTCTTCTTGAAGCTGGCCAAACGTGAGTGGCTCCGCGGGAAATCCCCTCGCTTGGTCATGCCGTAGGGAAGTGCGGCATCAAGCCCCAGCCTGGAAAGGTGGAGGCGTTGAGCAGTCGCTTCGCCAAAAGACTACAAGCAGTTGAGGTCGCTTTTATGTTTACTCTCGTTCCACCGAAGGTTCGTGCCAGGGTACTCCGACAAGATGCAGCCCTTACATGAGCTCATGAACAGCCGGAAGACCTAAAGCTTCGCGTGGCGTGACTCCCACGAAGCACCAATGCGACTGGTAACCGGGGCAATGCTGACTACTTGGTAGCTCCCGACCCGGTATTGGGTCAGGTCAACGATGGCAGGTTGGAAGTGATCGAGTACGGTAGCAAGAAGCTCACCCAAGCTCAGTAATTGGGACGCGAGAGAAAGAGAATTGTGGGCGGTCAAATACTTTGTGACCAAGTGGGACGCTTACATACGGCTGAGACCCACCCTGGGCCTTACCGACCATCGCAATCTCACTTTCCTAGCGAAGGCTGACACAGGCAAGGTAGGTCGATGGGCTCTGTTCCTCCAGCAGTTCCTCTGCTCCTTCAATACGACTTAAAGTTCAGTTGCATCCCAGGAGATAACAACTACGTCGCCGATGCCCTGTCTAGGCTCCAAGACGACGAGGACCATGATCGGGATCTCGATGCTACGCACATCGGTAATCGACCGTTTGCAGTCCATTTCGCCGAGGTCAGCCAGAACCTATTCCAGCTACCGTCACGTAACGAGTTCCTTGTGAAGGACGACGACGTCCCCGTGGATGAGTTGCAAAACCTCCTCAAAAGAGAAGACGGCCCCTACGAACACCGTAAGACCAAAAAGTTGTACGTCCCGAATCGACTTAGCTGACTGCTCGGTACCCTATGGGAGGGTACGTTGGAGC